GCATTGCATGTGGGTCTACAGTCTCTTCTCCCGTGATGTACTAGTTGCCCTCTTATGCGTTCGGGAAGATCTCACTATTTTAATGAGATGTTCGAGAAGGTCTCGCTACGCAATGTTTTGGGGTTCGTAACTATTCTCAATAGATACTTAATAAAGTGTCTAAGAAATTTAATGTGTCAGTGGGAGGAATTATCGTTTCTGCCAAGGGCAGTAGCACAAACAAGAGAAGAGAAAAGGTTCATCGAATATTAACTAGTTGTATTATCACTAGTTGTAATATCGGGGAATATCTAGTTGGAATATTATTCAGTTTTAAATAGAGCAGACGAAATGCTGCTGATTGCAAATTCATTAGTTATAATAAATTGTAACATACAGCTAACTGGTTGTAACGCAATCCGTACATAGTGAAATGTACAGGTCACTAATGTGTAACTGTTTATCCACATGACCCTTAATATTGGTGTACAGGTCATTTCATGACAAAAGCTGCATAATTTGTTTTATTGTCTGAACAGATGCGACACAGTTCAATGGCATGCATCGAACTCTATAGCTTCCACTGCCATGACAAAATTGTTTGCCCTGGAATGCATTGTCCAGTGATATTTTAGCACATTGTTCGGGTCCGATGGACTATAAAAGGGCGCGAGTGCAGTAGTATATCCCTCAACAACAAAAATTTTTCCGTCCACCTTTCATTTTAAATTACTTCACACTTCCCATATCATTCTACTGAATGGTGGCAATGAACCCGTGCCTGAAATTTATTATTAGTATTCTTCAACCCGCCTCTAACTTCAATTGCAGTGTCATCAATAGAGGGTTCACACAAAAATCAAGTTCTTGGGTGCCAAATAGCAGCCAGTAGGTTGTATGATGTTCGAGAAGATCTCGCTAATTTAATGAGATGTTCCAGAAGGGCTCGCTACATCAATTGTTTTGGGGTTCGAATCGACCATCTTTATGTTCTCATTAGACACTTACTAAAGTGTCTAATGAAATTTTATGTGTTGGGGGGAGGACTTGTTGTTTGTGCCAAGTGCAATTGCACAAACAAGAGAAGAGGAAAGGTTCATCGGATATTAACTAGTTGTAGTATCACTAGTTGTAATATCAGGAAATTTCTAGTTGTAATATCACTAGTTTTAACTAGATAAGACGAAAAACTGCCGATTGCAAATTCATTAGTTGTAATGAATTGTAACATATATATAACTAGTTGTAACTCAAAATGGTACATGGCGTAATCAAAATTTGTGGCATTTTAAATATTAGTTACCCTACTTTCAAATTACTTGTCCCAACGAAGTATCATATTCTTCTGCGAAACTGTTACTTATTATGTGGTCACGTTGAACCAAGCCGAGCCGCCAATTGTAAGTTCATTTCTGTACTGAAGGAGTACTACCTATTGAAGTGCCTGCAATACTATCTATAATACTTATCATTAATACAATTATAAACAAATTGTCTAAGTTTTAACATACAAGCAAATGACAAGGTGCCTGTACAAGCACATCAATAAGCGTTAACAGCTTATTAATTTCTTGTAATGTACATATGCTGGTTGTAACTTCTTGTTACACTTGAAAAGTAAGGTGACTGACGTATAACTGGGTATTCATGACCCAATTGTTATCGGAGTACAGGTCATGATCCAATCGAATTGAACCATTATTTCATCCACACACTATACATTTGACCAAACGTTGAGTCTATTCTCTCGTTAATAGGCGGTTGCCATGCCTTCATCTACTCACCCAGGAGTACTATCCCGTGGAGAACAGCATGAAGTGACGTAGCAAGCAGTTGGTCAAGTTGCCAGAAGAAACCATTTACTATGCATGATCTGAAACAGGTGCTCCGTTAAAAATTTCTACCTCTTTTTTTCTCCCACCTATTTCTTTATCAGCAGATCCTTTCTTTCATCCAACCAAAAAGTAGTAGGTATCAGCATAGTCATGCAATCCACAAACGAAGGATCTCATACAAGCTCACCATCAAATGTTCGGCAAAAAAGACGGAAAGTATCGTTGGGTCCAACAAATGCCATCAGCAAGTACGAAACACCAGATGGGAGGATTTTATATGGTACCAAACGCGAGTTCAAGAACGCTCCACTTAACACCAACAATTCTCTGGGACTAGCTGGTCACATTTTTAAAAATACCGTCAATAATCATCTACCGTCTGGCTATTCCGTTATGGACCATGAACCCATATGGGAGCCTGTTCGTGAGCGAAGAATGGAATTAGAGGTATTTTGTCGCTGGCATGGCCTCCGCGTCCCGAGAACAAGGTAGGCGGATCTTGTTATAGGACCACAAGCCAATGATGCAAGCGTATTACATAGACTACAGTGAGAAGTTATGCAGATGGAGCGTAGGCTTCACAGGTTTCACGAGATCCAAGTCGCAAAAAGACATGGTATTGGAAAATATTTTGATGTTCAGCACATTTTAGCAGATCCCATGCTTATATCCGATCCGGACCTATCTGATTTTACTGAATCAAGCGACGATGACTTTCAAAGGTACATACCCCATTGTCTAATGCATGACGGCGTTCCCAGGTGTTGTATGGGATACAACTGATAACAAGGGATGTAGTTCAATGTTTGTTAGGGTAGCGGTAAAACTATACTCATTATAATCTCTACTCAAACAAATTGCTTACCATATTTGGATATTAATCATGCATGTTACTCAGTCGTAACTAGTTGTAACGTAATAGTAACAGATCCCTAACTGGTTGTAACCCATTGTGTACTGTTCGTTCTTCCTTTTTGTTGCATTGTAAAACTTCATTTTAACGTTACAAATTAGTTCTCCAAGGAATCATTTTCTTATGCGCACCTATTACCAACATGTGGTCATGACCTGACTTGACCATAATTTAATTAACCTAAAAACTTGTAATACCAATTGATGTGCCTGTGATATATCATGTCAATGGTGCACTAAATTCGTCAAGCGATGCAAAACAAATGGCCTAAATGATAATGTTTTATAAAAATAACCCAATAATAATTCGAATTTATCATCATAACAAAATCAAGACAATTTAGACTTTAGATTGTGTTATCTTATACATCGTACCTTTAACGGTGTGATCTATGCCAATAAATATGTTATTAAGGTATGCAATTGAATGTAGTAGAATGATATACATATCACGACAACCATTCAACTGTTATGGTCGATTTAGTTAAAAATATCCGATCACAAAAAACACGTTCAATTCTATTGTAAAATTGTTACTTCAATTTTCTACCAACTTTATAATTTTCTAACAATTTTATACAACCCAATACAAACTATTGATGACTACTAACACTAGATGCGATTACAATTGTAATCCACTTGTCTAAATTTGAAAAGAGTGAAACATCAATGGTGCCTGTATAACCTCGTCAATAAGTTGTAACAGCTTATTAACTGCTTGTAACGTACATATGCAACATTCTCAGGTTGGGACAACCACTTAATGTCTCGTTCAAAATGTATAGTTACACATCATTCATCAACCTCATTCTGGGGGGAGGCGACGTCAACGTGTAGTTGCAATCCCTGTGCGATTACACTAGATGACTACTATTGATGACTATTGATGACTACTAACACTAGATGCGATTACAATTGTAATCCACTTGTCTAAATTTAAAAAGAGTGAAACATCAATGGTGCCTGTATAACCTCGTCAATAAGTTGTAACAGCTTATTAACTGCTTGTAACGTACATATGCAACATTCTCAGGTTGGGACAACCACTTAATGTCTCGTTCAAAATGTATAGTTACACATCATTCATCAACCTCATTCTGGGGGGAGGCGACGTCAACGTGTAGTTGCAATCCCTGTGTGTTATTTCTTCCCTGAAATGCGTAACGATGGCAAATCAGCAAATATTATTAATAAAACATACGATTAATGATATACGATGTCCAAGTCTCCAATTAATAACATTACATAAATATGTGCTGTAACGATAAAAGTTTGTCACCTGAGGTAATGGTGCAAATACATGATATGCATCAACATCACAGTGTGTTGAAATTGCCCCACGCTCCTCCTACATTATATAGTATAAGTAATCGACTGTCAACAAATCATTACCAGTGCCTATATTGCTCACTTATAAAGTTAAATTGGACTAGACATTATAACAAAAATGATATATCAGACCATTAAGACATTTCTGATGGAGTTATGCTTGGAAAAAATAGAAAATCTGGGATACATCCATTCTGTAGGGACACTTGCAGGAGACCCCTGATTAGCCAAACGGTGGACCTTGGAATAATAAAAAATAATACGTTATTAAAGCGAGCATACGTTAACTATACAATTTGCATGATTTGACAGCCTTCGGGAGCCCACCGTTACAATTAAAGAAAAAAAGGTAGCTCTACTACATGAACAAGAAGGTTTTATTTTAACTACTAAATGTATGCATACCGTTTGACTTTCATCAAATATCGGGAGCAACAACATTTGGAGAGCCATTCACTGTCTGACTCATTGAATGCGTCTACAAGTTTCGTATGGGCCAAATCATTGTATAAGACAAACAAAATACGTATATCAGGAGGGATGACGACCGTAACAACATTATCACACAATGTAACATCAATGTAACTATTTATGCTGTTAGAAACATCCAAATAAAAGTAAGAGTCGTGTCCATTTTATACTAACTGAAACAGAGTCAGTAGATGAACGGCATCCCATAAACATGCATTCCTCAAATGAAACCGATGTCGGCTCCGATTCTGAGACCTACAGTATTGACACGGCAATAATATTATTTCATAATGAATGTTACCTAAACTTTAGTTAATAATATAACAATAACTTAGTTTTAGCATAAATGTTTCCCAAATACCAAAATTTGATCCATACCGTAGTCTGTGTAGTTCTTGATAATCTAGATTTTCTTTTTACTCTGTCAAATTTATCGACCCAACTTCGCATCACTCTACTTTTCTTCCCACCGCCTCATTTTTTAATGCCTCTTGCTACTACTGCCTCCCCCGTTTCATTTAAAATTTCAATTTTATCTCGTTCCTCCATATTCATATTTTTTTTATTTTGCAAAGGTTGCTCTTCGCTTTCTGAGAGGAGGAGCTCAACTCTCTTTGACAAATCGGATATGACAGTGATTGCTACTTTGCTGGTGTCCTCCGACATTGCTGCTCGAGTTGCGACCTTAATCATGGCTGGAGCGAGCTCCCGATAACGAGTTGAAATCATTACTTTAGGATCAGCCACAACTTCCTGTCCTCGCCGATCAAAACAGTCTCCAGCCCGAGCTCTTTTTGTCCATCGCCTCTTAATGTATTCAGGAGGAATTATTTTTATGCCCACGGTATCAAACACCTTCAACGCGTGCCCACATAAAATGCCTTCATTCTCGTATTTTTTGCAACTGCAATGTACACTTAGATCATTCCGATTGAATACTACTATTCTTTCAGGTCCTCCATCATACCTCATGACCGCAAACTCCACAAACATCGCTGCATCTTGTTGTTCAATATAACCATAGCTGTTGACTCGCCATATTCATTTTGGAATGCAACAAATACGATTGGTGAATACGTTTCTGATGCATGCACAAGCATAGGTATTTGCCTTAACCCTACCATGGGGAGCTTTTGCCTCATTTCATATTCCGCAATCAGTTCATTATGTCTCTTTTCATCAACCACCCGATTGAAATGTCTAAAGAACTGCACAAGGTCATGATCCAGTTTCAAATGATTTTTAATTGCTGCATTTAGGCTTTCGCTGAGTTGGGTGCTTCGCATTCCCGCGGTCCATCTTTCTTTCATCATGCACCTTGCCCATTTATCACGAATTTTATACAACCCGAAGAGCCATTCATTATTTTCAAGATTGTGTTTCTTCATCATCGCCTCCCACACCCTATTGAATTGTTCACTTCTTCAAACTCATACATGCAGGCACCAAACATGTATGGAAGATCACTATTTTCCTTGTAGTGATTGCCAAGATGTTTCATAAAATTACGCCTTATGTGAAACGTACATCGACCGTGAAATATTTCAGGCATAACAACTGAAAGAGCGGCTGCCATGGCATGATCTTGGTCGGTTAGTATGGTACTTGGACGCTTTTCGCACATTGCTTCTAGAAATGTACCAAACACCCATTTGAAAGAATCTATAGTCTCATCATACATAAGGGCAGCACCGAATATCACAATTTACCTATGTTGGTTAAAACCCACAAACACTCCAAGTGGCCGGTATTCTTTATTTGTTTTGTAGGTTGTGTCGAATGTGACTACGTCTCCAAAAAATTTGTAGTCAATTAACATTCCTGCATCAGCCCAAAAGATATTCGTTATCTGCTCTTCATAGTCCAGCTGTACGGCATGAAAAAACGATGGATTCTCGAGTGTTTGCTCTTGAAAATAATTCAGCATGCTACCTGCTTCTCCAAATTTCAAACTCCTTTCCCGTCGAGTACGAAGATATCGTTTCAGGTCTTCCCGAGTATATCCCACATTTCCCATCCCACCTGCCTCCTTTCCCATAAGCTCATGGCTCTGTTTCAATGAAAGCCCAGTGTCCTCGCTTATTTCAGCTTGGAATCCTTGAGCCTCGCTCACTTTTCTTTGTGATGGCATCATATGCGCACATTGAGCAATGTGCAACTCATGGTTATGCTCTAAAACAAGATCATGCACACGGTACTTCATTGTTCCTCTAAACAACACAATAACCATTTTAGCTCCACACCCTGTTTTCGTCGGAGCTCGTGTCCTCTTTAGCATCACATCACCTTCGTACTTGCGCTTCACACCTTCTTTGCAGCAACTATATCTCCTAGACGTGGTCACGCCGTCTTTGTCTTTATTCAGATAGTCTTTACGTACACTAAAACCCATTTTAAAGGTATATTTGTTGTAAAACTTGTACGCATCCTCTTCGCTGTTAAACTCCATTCCTAACTCAGGGGTTCCATCTTCTGCCAATTTGCTGCAATCCATTACTTCTGATCCTGCCAATTATGCATCAAACACCCTAATTTGCAACACTTCATGAATTGTATGTACATAAACGACAACATAAATGTATATTACCATTCATAATGTGTTATGAATCATACATTACTCGTATACCAAATTCTATTATTACGCTATCAATATGATTAATGATTCACATCATCTTACTTTTACTCTAAGACAATCTGTGTACAAATACAACTCCATGTACACTAACTTATACGGATTGTAATGTATTGGTCACACGATGTAAGTCTATTTTAACTGTATGTACATCCACGCTGGTGATTATATTTTGATTCTAGATTCTTTAACTCACTGGACCTTATGTCATTCGTTAATGACAACTGCATAAGCCAACTCCGCATTTTCTACTATTTCTATATTTTGAGGGCCAAACAATCACTTTCTACTCATTGTAATATATTTTTTATATCATGTAATTTACTTACAATACAAGGTTCACCCATTTATTATTCACATATATGTCTTTTCCTCAGTTTCACCTCATTCAACTCTACACCTCTATTTTATACACACTACACGGTCAAGAGAGGGACAAACTAATATTACTCCATGAGCATGGACCAATTACTAGATGCACAATGATTCATATCAATTGTAATACGGTGGCTATAACATGTAACTAATTTACAACAAGATGTACATTCATTCACTTGTTAAATGTGACTTTGTTTCTCTCATCTTTCCCTAATTCCGTTCGATGGTTTACTTGAATACATACCCCTAGGTCTTCCAAAAACTACTATCCCTTTATAGTTCATCACTGAAAAACTAAATGGTCACACACACAGATACGGTACATATATTTAATATAGTACAACTTCACTATTCTTGTATCATCTTCATATTATGTCTTCAGTGACTCTAATTTCATCCTTCATTTAACAGATGTGCATTTGGGTGACAAATTATTGGCCACAGTTACTGACATGGTTCAGTCATGTTACCTTGGTCTGCTAATACGCTTCATGTTTCACCGAAGTCGGAGAGCGTAGCTGCATCTGCTATTAAGTTGAAGGACAAAATCTGGCTTCGTGAGATTTTGTCCTTCCTCTGTTTGCTTCTACCTTACTGCCTGCCTTGTGCGCATTCAAAATAGATACAATACTCTTATACCCAGTTGAAAACCACAGCTGCTTCTGCTATTTAGTTTTCTGTCCAAACTTTGGCTTCATCTCTGTTTGCTTCTACCTTGCCGCCTGCCTTTCCACTCACTTTTCTGTCAATTGCTATTTTCATCAGAGTAGACTACACTCACTTCACCTAGAAAGAGCTAGTAAGTCGAATTCCACTCGAACTTCAGCTTTCTACCTTCAGTGAGCGGTCGGTCAGACTGTCAGAGTAGAGCTCCTTCAGAAGCACGCCAAGACTCTTCCCTCAGTTTTGTTTTCTGCGGCTAATTCAAAATTTCAACTTGAATTTCAAAATCTACTTCTCTTCCGTTTGCTCCGTTTGCTCACGTTTGGAAGTCAACATTTTTTTATTTGGAACGGTGCCGTTTTTCTGCCCTGCTTCAGCCTTGCTGACTTGGCTTATTTGTCTCCTCACGTTTTTTATTGTGAGGAGACCGTTCAGGAGCGGTCGTCTGAGGACCGCTCCTGCCCCGTATCCCAATTACACCGATCTGCCAATTCCCCTTCTCTCTCTCTCTCTAAAATTTTAACCTTCCCTTGACTTAACTTTGTCAAAGCAAAAGTGTTTTCTCGCTATAGTTCGGTACATTGGCCTACTGGGAGTGAGAGTGGATTCCCTGAACTGAACTTTGACAGAGTTTAGAAGAGGCAAGAATCCTCTTTTGGTGTTTTCTCTTGGGTTCATCTCCTTGAATGTAATGGTTTTTAGGGGTAATTGTGTTCTGATTTGAGAAATAAGGGAATGTAACAAGTAGGGGTGGCAATTTTCGACACGACCTGAAAACACGACACGAACCTAACACGAAATTAATGGGTTTGGGTTGAGGTTTCGGGAATTCGGGTCAGAATCGGGTTGGACCCGATGAACCCGAAAAAAAAAATATGTCGATTTCGGGTCAACCCGTGGTGACCTGATATGACCCGATATGACCCGTTTACGAATTAAAAATAATTTAATAAACATAAAAATAATTTTATCTAACTAAACTAACTTATTCTTTTTTTCAAAAGCATTAATTACTTAATCCTAAATGAATTTATTTAATTTGTGTGAAGTTGAAATTATTATATTTGGACAAATAATATATTATATTATTTTTTACTTTTATATTGTTTTAATTTATTTTATATTTTGTTTGGGATGAAACACTTTTACGGTGTTTAATTTATTTTAGATTTGGTTTGGAATTATTTATTTAAATTTTTATTACTTGATTATGTAATTAGTTTTGTGAGAAATTGATTTTATTAGAAATTACAGTGATAAATTAATAAATTAAAATTAAGTTTCGGGTCATTTCGGGTCGACCCGCCAACCCGTCAACCTGAAATTTTCGGGTTCGGGTCAGCATACCTGACCCGTCACGGGTTGGCGGGTCGGGTTCGGGTCAACAGATTTTCTGACGGGTTGACCCGAACCCGACCCGCCAACCTGATTTGGACCCGAATTGCCACCCCTAGACTAACAAGGAAACAAGCAACAGAAAGAATGAGGGATGGAAATCCCTATTTAAAAGCTATTTCCTTTTTATCCTTTTATTACTTAATTGTGGTTAATTCCTAACAAGGGATTTTATGTTGTCGTCATTAATTGTGGTTAATTCCTTTTATCATGCTCTCAGGTCAAGAAAAGGGTTAAACGTAAGAAAACCTCTATGAACTATTGCACCAGTTGCACTTTGCATGCCAAATTAACTCCATTCAAGTAATTGATTAAGTAACCGATTTATCCTTCATTAAAAGTTCAAATGACAAAAATAGCCTTTTAGTGAGAAAAAGTTTTCACTTTAGATAGACTAATTTTCGCTTCATTATAAAATTCTAATTGAAACACATACATAAAGGGGACAAAAGTGTTATCTAATAATGTAATTGGAATTAGATTTTTGGTTTGTTATTCATGGAATGATAGGTAGGTTTAAAATATACAAAATTCTTAGGATACGATATAATGAAAGAGAGGAATTTTTTAAAAATTGGACAAATTTTTATGAGCAATTGTAAGAATATTTGACAATTAAACACATGTTTTAGATAATTTCATAGTTTTTTTTTGCAAGTTCATGAGTGGAGTTTTTTTTTTGTTCCTTTGCTTTTATTCATAATAAACGTTTTGACAGAAATGCACACCATCTTGAATTTGTGGCTTTTCCATTACAAATAACTTTTTTTGACCAGAATAATTTTACTATTTTGATTCAAAATGTTAACCCAGTACGTTTCAAAATTCTAGTAGGTGTGATATTTAAAACTTTAAGAGCGCAAAGTGAAATAATCAGAAACTTTAAAAGTTTCTAAATAATTCTGTCCTTGAAAGTTTAAATTTCTACGGAAGAAAGAATTATGCGTGCCTCCTAGCAAAATGGCACCCCCCCGGGGGAATGTGTTTTCTGGTTTTCCTTTCTCTACTAACTCTTTTGTTGAATTAATTTAAAAGTCTTAATTGTGTTACCTGTGATAGGATGTTCCTCATAATGGTGAATAAGTGACTAATGTTAAACAGATAATACACAAAACATGTATTAGGCAGTGAAGCCATTGTTACGAATCATTGAATGAATTCCGTACGCCTTTGTTTTTTCCCAATAGAATAATATACCTACTAGAAAATATTTTAGTTTTGAGGAAGAGAGCTTTTAGTCTATCTCTTACTAGAAAAATGGCCATAAAGACGGGGAATAATTTCAGAAATCTCCCTTGAGGTTTCTGACAATTATAGACAGTTTTCTTGTGGTTTTGACAATTACACTTACCTCCCATAATGGTGCAAAATTACTTCAATAATCCTCGCAAAACACTTTAACCCATTTATAAGAAAACAAGGAAATTTATAAAAGAAGATTCATGATTAGCATTAAACCCGCAAACCAGTTTATTCCTTTCTACTCTATGGTATTCACCAATTTGCTAGTATTTATTTCCTCTTCCTCCTTAGACCAATTTCGAGCCTAATTAATTTACCAACAAATTTTCCTCTTCTCCATTGCCAAATTATCTTCCCCTTTCTCTCTTCTCATGAAAAAATGTATAGAGATTGGTAAATAATCAATTTTTATATGCCAAAAAGACAAAACTCATGTTAAGCACTTAAACCATATTAATTTGATATAAACAATGTCAATTACACAAATAAATTGTTTTGCCAAAAACCCAAATGTGAAATTACTTTTCAATTTGCTTCTAATGTCATGATAATCTTTCTTTTCCTCTTTTTATTTTCTTTCTTGAGTACAAGCAACATATAACATAATTGCCAACATTCTAGGATATGGTATTAGGTGTGGGATATATGGGTAAATCATAATAGGTTTTTAATGAGTTAGATTGGGTTTAAAATAACATGATGTTTTCGATTTTGATTATTTCGAGTATCAAAATAGATTATTGATGGCATGGCCAAAAAGGGGGAATGATATAGAGGCAACTTGGTCATGAATGAATGTTGCTGAATAATTCTTCCTTCTTGCCTTGGGGATGAAGAGAAGTGGTCTTCCAAGCATTGGTGGGCTAGTGATAGACGTTGGTTAGCTAAAGAAAGAGATGAAAGAAACTTTTTTAAAATTTGAAAGAGGGCATATAGGATAGTCAAAATGAAAAATTGGGCTATTGGATCTACTTTGTTACATAAATCATCAAAAGAAAGGAGGTGGTTGTAATTTCTCAAATCTTAGGGGAGCTGTCTGCTATTGTCAGAAGATTCAAAGGAGGTTTCTGAAATTATCCCTAAAGATGGAGTATCAGAGGGTATTCATAGATTAGGTTAGGTATCCTTACTTGTAAATATCAAATTCTTAGGGTTTATACATTAACTAAAATCTTACTATAGAG